CCATTTTTTGGTTGCAGCCGTCATTGTTGTTTGGCGGGTCTGGGCTGGGGATTCGAACCCGCCACCTTAGGTGTACGTGGCTGGTGCCTTAGCCGGTTGAGCTACAGGCGCCAAGCCAAGACTTAAGTGTTTTTATCTGTGGCACAGAGGTCTTTTCATGGAGGATAAACTTACCTTCACTCATGGTGGCAAGGAAGATCATTGTGTTACAAGTACAAACAAACAGCAATTGCCATTGGCCACACATTTTCTTTAATGTGGAAAGAGAGTCCCAGGGACTAAGTGCCAATATACCCAAGTGGTATAATGGCTTTTTGAAAAACTGTAGATATCAGAAGAAATTACAGACGCTTTCCCATCATGCATATACTTTCCACATACCAACCACTTGACTACTAAGTGGGGTTTTTTTTGTTATTGTTGCTTATTTTGCAAGTTTAGAAATTCAGATGGTTTTAGTGTAGGCACAACTGTGTCATTTCAACTTTCTGGATATTAAAAATATTTATCTCTTGGTCGTATATTGCAATGGCTCACAACACTGAAGTTGATGTTGCCATCTTCATTTCACAGGTAAGGAGACTGAAGTCCCAAGATATTAAGTTCTGTAGGTAGTAAATGGAGAAGCTAGTATTCAAAGCCAGCTGTTGTGGTTTTAAGGCATGCATATGCCCTACGACTCCTTGAATTGGCTTTTGTATCTTAATCACCTTCACCCAGATCAGTACCTGGCTTGTTATAGATGCTCACAAAACTTGTCAAGTGGGTAAATAATTTGTGAAGGTGTTTTAGGGAGGACCTGCTTCCAAGGAATTTATGGTGTGAATAAGAGGATAATATTTACATAAGTAACAAAGTAAGATACACATAAAGATTGTGTAAAGTAAGATGAAAGATTCTTTTTAGCTTGGTAGATCAAGAAAGCCTTTACGGAGAAAGGTGTTTAAGAGCGTCTGATAAATTAAAAAATATGTGTTTTTTTTAAATATTTAGAGATGGGAAGATATTTCTGGCAGAAAGAATAGCAAGCAGGTAAATCTCAGTTATTTTCAGAGAAAAGAAAGTAATCTGGTAGGAACTATGTTCAGAAGCTGGTGGGGTTCACTTGGGGTAGAACAGAACATGTAAAAGAATGTAGGGGTGGCTTGGCTGATTAGCAGTTTGGGACCAGATTCTAGAAGGCCTTGTTTCCTGGCACATGTCACCAGCGCTCTATTCTATAGTGACACTCTGGTACCCACGATCTCTTTGAGAGCAGACTGTGTGTGAAGTTCCATGCTGCTTTATCTTTTCATGGAATTTCTCCAAGATGGTAAGGCAGTGCCTTTGCCACTTTTCTCATTTACAGTTTTCCAAGGGTGTTCTAACAACAGCTAATTACAGCTGCAGTTGTGGGTCCCAAAATGTAGTTGTATGCTTCTGCTTCACAGTTACTTCATTTTGCTTTTTTCTGTAACTGTTTGTCTACATATTCTCTCCAACTGGAGGTCAACCTGTTAGAGGGCAAAATCAGGTCTTTATTTGTCAGTATATCCATTCTTTCGATCCTCAGGGCCCAGTTTCATCTTTGTCCACAAATCTTGGAATATTTGTTAAATGAATAGTGGCATAGAACATTATACTTGTTTTCCTTGGTAATTATTAAATTAGTACCCAAAACTACTGAAAGCAAAAGAATGGAGAGGTTAATTAGATTATTCTTTATATGCTTATTTTGTTTATGCATGTAATTGCTTGTAATGTGTAGGATGGAGGTAAAAAATAAATGTGTGTTGATCCACCTGCCTGTTGCTCATTTATTGAATGTTAGGCTGTGCTCAGTAGTAATGAAATAATGAGCTCAAAATTGATGTTTATCTCATTAATATGGTAAGAACAGAATAACTGATTTTGTTATGAACTAGGATGTTTTAAAATGACTATAGGATGTATTTAAGTGTGTTTATTCTTAGATTTTAAAAGTTTATATTTTACTTAAACATTAAAAATGTCCCAGTTTATTGTAGATAGACATTTCAATTGCAGTACAATTGATTTGCTTAAAAGCAATCAAGAGGTTGACCATGCCTCACATTAATTGGGTGATTATGGGCAAATTGTTTAAACTCTTCCTAAATCTTAGTTTCCCTATCTAGAATAGGGAATAAAATAAATATGTAAAGTAATAAATATGTAAAGTATAAATAAAATTTATAAATAAATAAATATGTAAAGTAGAATAAATACGTTTTTATTATTTATTTAATTTTTGGCTAGGGTTGGGTTTGAACCTGCCACCTCCAGTACATGGGGCCAGTGCCCCACCCCTTTGAGCCACAGGCGCCACCCAGAATAAATATATTTTAGGCTATGATTATGAGAATTAATGAAATAATGTAAATAAAGTAGTTAATACCATGCCTGGTACATGTGGTAATGATTGTCTTTATGGTTTTATTTATTTGGCATCTAATATGAGCTTGGTGATGTTTTCTTAATTTTAGTGTTATGCGCCTACATTGATAGTCTTAGAATTCTTTTTTCAATTTTAGTAAAACAAAGACCATATGTCTGAATTTTACTGATTTTGTTCTTTTAAATACAGACTTAGGAAGTTAATTTGACTATATACAAATTCTGTCAGGTCCATGATACATAAATAGCAAATGAATATGAATAGCCTGTTCGTAAGATGAACTATAAGTAGTAAACAAAAATGAAAAAAATGTTCGTATTAGGCTTGGTGCTCGTAACAGTGGTTACGGTGCCCCCATGCACCAAGACTGGCAGGTTCAAACCCGGTCCAGGCCAGCTAAACAGCAATGACAACTGCAACAACAACAACAAAACTATATCTGGGCATTGTGGCAGCACCTATAGTCCCAGCTACGTGGGAGGCTGTGGCAAGAGACTCGCTTAAGCCCAAGAGTTTGAGGTTACTGTGAGCTGTGACACCACGGCAATCTACTGAGGGTGACATAGCATAGTGAGACTGTTGTCTCAAAAAAAAAAGTCCATATTAAAAAATGTAAATTAATATACAAATTAAAATAGAAACAAAGTTTATTTTTTATCTTTTACACTCATTTTTTAAGTGTAATTATATACATCAGTTGCAGGGACAGAAATATACTCTTGGTATTCTTGGTGGTTATAAGTAGATATGGCCCATTTGGGGGGTATTTGAAAATGCTTAGTAGGAGCCATACTGATTTTTATATTGTTTTTGACATACTATAGCATTTCTACTTCAGGAACTATGTCTTAGGAAAATCATCTGTAAGACAAATCTATTTAAAAATGTTTGTAGCAATATTATCAGTAATATTAGCAGTTTGTTATTAGCAGTAATAACAGTAAAAGGAAATAGCCTAAAAGGTAAGATAAATGGTAGTATATGGAAGGGATTATGCAACTGTTGAAAATACTTATTGAAGCAATATAAGAGAATGCATGTAAAATAATGCTGAAAAAAATTAGAACATAATTGTACATTTATCATGTATCATTACATATGCTATAGCGATGTGCATAAGAAAAGATAATTTTTGCAGGGGAATGTACATAAATTATGTTGAGTGGATTAGATGAGTCATTTTTTTCTTTTGAAAATTTGCACACTTAGTAAATACTTAATATATTTGTGGAATTAAATGAATAATAGCATAGAAATTTTGTTTCTTTTCCTTGGTAAATATAAAATTACTGCCAAAAACCCCTAAGAATGAAGAGGTTAATTAGATTCTTCTTTATAGGCATATTAAATTGTTTCATTGTCATCTTCCAAAACAGTTATACTTATTGTAAGGAAGAGAAAGTCTTGAGGCTAATTTTCACTTCCTGACAGTTTAGAACAGGGTATTACAATTAATATTATGTGAAAGATGTTAGTATAATGTGTTAGAGAATTTTAAAAGAAGCTAAGCTTTAAAGGGTAGAACTGTTTGTTTTTAATATGACTTCTCTTTATTTTAGAATTGATAGATGTCACATGCACCCTGCTGCTTCTAAACCCAGATTTTACCACAGCATGGAACGTGAGGTAAGTGTGACATTCTTATCAGTGATCAGGTGAAATTCATTCAAACTTCTGAAGATATATAAGCCCTATGAGTTGTTAGCTTGTTGAAAATGAAATATAAACCATATGTCTGTGGCATCTAATAACACTTATATCTTCTGCCTATTCTTTATAATATCTCCATGACAATTCTAACACATACACTGGACCCCTTTTTGCACACCTATGTTTGTTCTCCATAAACTTTCTTGGCTAAAATATAAATTATGTTGAGTCACAGTATACTATTTAATACATGTTTTATTTTTTCCCCCTTTTTTGGGGTGGAGAGTAGCAGGCAGTTGGCATAATTGGTTGGATCATAGGGCCTTGGTTACCACGTTTGAGATGCGTTACAGTGCAGTGCACAGTGTGTGGAGCGAGAAAGAAGGGAGTCAAGGTCAACTCTGGTTTTTGCCCTGAGCAACTAAAAGGGTAGAGTTGCCAGTTACTGCAAAGGCAATGTCTGGAAGAGAAGCAGATTTAGGTGGGGGCAAGGAGTGCTGGTTAGAGGTCAAGAATTTGATTTTGAGCATGTTAGGTTTATATATAAGTAGTTGTGTGTTAATCTGAAGCAGAAAAAAGGGTCCGGACCAGATAAAATTTGAGATGTATATGGTGTTTAAAGCCATGAAACTATTTGAGATTCCCCAAAAGAGTGGGTGTAGTTAGAGAAGAGAACCAGTGTGAAGACTGAGCACTGGGACACTCCAGTTTTCTAAAGTAGCACAGGCCAGTACAGTAGCCACTAGACACATGTAGCTAATGAGCCCCTGAAATGTGACTAGTCTTGATTGAGATGTGCTGCATGTGAGTTTACACGTCTGATTTTGAAGACTTAATATCCCCAGAATGGAATATCTCATTAATAATTTTATATTGATTACTTGTTTAAATTATAGCCTTTTGGATATATTAAAGTAAATAAAATATATCTGTACTCATTTTTAATATAACTTAGAAAATTTAAGATCATATATATGGCTCACATTTGTGACTCACATTATATTTCTGTTGGACAGCACTGTTCTAGCATTTGCAAGATGAGGAAGCATCAGCAAAGGAGACTTTTAGGAAGGTACTATGAACGTACAAGTGAGAGTTTTCTTAAAGACCATGGGTTTTTTTTTTTTTTCCTTTTTCTCCTAGTATCTAACTATAGTGCCTGCCACATAGTGAGTATGCAGTTTACAAACTGGGCACTGAAAACAAATCAAATTCAGTGAAAAAGAAATGAGGGTAAGAAGAAAGTAGGAGTACCATTTTTATTCATGATCTCACATTACTAATCAATAGAGAGAAATTGAAAATCCTTTAGCCAAAAATTCTTATTTTGAGCATGTTATAAATGTACACATATATGTACACATAATGCATCTGTAATGTATACACATTCGTTGTATGTTCTATAAGACAGTTCATAGGAAGAAAACCTAATCTTTTTTTTTTTTTTTTTTTGGCTGAATTCAGGGAACTTTATTGATGTTACATGACAAGGTGAGGCTCCCTAGGCCCCTCCTGTTCTTTAGGAGATCTGGTGTGGAAACTGTGTTGAGGGGAGATTCTCAGTGAGGTGGGGACTGAGTAGGCACGGGCACCCCAGCAGCTAAGGGCCTTTCTCTTCCTCTCGTGCTCTGACTGGGGCTGGTGGTCTGCAGGTTCTTACTCCTTGGAGGCCATGTGGGCCATAAGATCCACCACCCTATTGCTGTAGCCAAATTCATTATCATACCAGGCAGTGAGTTTGACAAAGTGGTCATTGAGGGCAATGCCAGCCCCTGCATCAAAGGTGGAAGAATGGCTGTCACTGTTGAAGTCCAGAGGAGACAACCTGGTGCTCGGTGTAACCCAGGATGCCCTTGAGGGGGCCCTCTGATGCCTGCTTCACCACCTTCTTGATATCATCATACTTGGCAGCCTCTCCAAATGGCAGGTGAGATCCACAACTGACACGTTGGCAGTGGGGACACGGAAGGCCATGCCAGTAAGCTTCCCATTCAGCTCAGGGATGACCTTGCCCACAGCCTTGGCTGCACCAGGGATGATGTTCTGGAGAGACCTGCGACCATCATGCCACAACTTCCCAGAGGGGCCATCACAGTCTTCTGGGTAGCAGTGATGGCATGGACTGTGGTCATGAGTCCCTCCACAATGCCGAAGTTGTCATGAATGAACTTAGCCAAGGGGGCTAAGCAGTTGGTGGTGCAGGGGGCATTGCTGACAATGCTAAAGCTGTTTTCATACTCCTGTGGTTCACACCCATCACAAACATGGGGGCATCAGCAGAAGGGGTAGAGATGATGACCCTTTTGGCACCCCCCTGTACGTGAGCCCCAGCCTTCTCCATGGTGGTGAAGACGCCAGTGGACTCCACAACATACTCAGCGCCTGCCTCACCCCATTGGATTTTGGTAGGATCTCACTCCTGGAAGATGGTTATGGGATTTCCATTGATGACAAGCTCCCCGTTTTCAGCCTTGATTGTGCCGTGGAATTTGCCATGGGTGGAATCATACTGGAACATGTAGACCATGTAGTTGAGGTCAATGAAGGGGTCATTGATGGCGACAACTTCCACTTTGCCAGAGTTAAAAGCAGCCCTGGTGACCAGGTGCCCAATATGACCAAAGCTGTTTATTCTGACCTTCACTTTTTCCATGGTGCCTCAGGGATGTGGCTGGCGCTGCACTAGAAGCAGCAGCTGTCTGATGAACGGGAGGACCAGAGAGCCAGAAAACCTAATCTTAACGATTCATGGACTTAGTCCTTCTTCATCAGTTAGGCAGCAGTTGACTATAGGCAAAACCTTTTTCAAGTTTTAGTTTCTTTATCAGTGAAATAAAAGATTTGAACTAGGTGAATGTTTGATGATTCTTTTGAAACTTTCTTAATTATATGTAATTTGATCTTACGAAAGGAAATTGCTCCATTAATCTAACTTCAGTGATGTTTATAAAAATGTTAAAATAATGTTGAAAATTATTTTAGTAAAATAATTAGTAAAGTTTTTTGTTAGATGATTAGAAAAGGAATCTTGATTTTCAAAATTTTATGGATATGTGTTTTAGTAAATTTTGATTAGTATTGGTAAGATTGATTAACATATGGAGACATAGAATCCTGGGTACATTTTGAGCAAAAACCAACCAACTTTGGAAGTAAACTGCACTATCCCTGTAAAGTCTCTTTTGCAAATCAGATACTCACTGCTTTATGTTTAATTAATTCTTGGTGTATTTCTTCTGCAGTTACCCAGTTAGTGATTTTGACTGTATTTTTCAAACTACTAAAATATGGTATAATATATCTCTAGTTCAATTTGTGTCTATTACAGTCTTAGGGAAAACAAAAATAGGGGCTACGTTTTTGAGCTGATCTCCTTTTTTACTTTGAAATTTGGTGAATTACCTGATGAAAGAGGTTGACTTCATAATAATGTTCTATTTTTCATCAGTCTATGTACTTAGGATATACAAAACATCTTTGAACAACTAGACACCAAACTCCAGTATTCTTTCATGTCTTTTATTCATAGCCTGTTGATGTAAATTGGTAACTTTTATGTATATTTGATGTTAGGTTTGACACTTTCAGTTAGGAAAATGAGCAAGTTATTGAACTCCTCTAAGACTTAGTTTTCTCATCTTAACATTGAGATAATATTAGGTTGAACCATATGAAATTGTTTTGTCTAATATTGTAATGGTTTTAGAAATGGTTGATTCCTGGACCAGGCCAGGAAGTATACAAGATGAGCCCAGAGCATCTTGTAGAGCCAGAAAGTGCTCTAAAACCAATCTGGTGGGCATATGTCAAAGGGATGCAGGAGCCAATTCAAAGAGCTTCTGGTAGCCAGAGCTGGAATGATTTGAGAAACAAAATAAGTAACATAGTGTGAAGTGGATGTCTGTAAGTCCACACTGGAATGAATGAATGAATGAGTGAATGAGAGACAAGAGGCAAATGATGTCTCATTAATTTACCTAAATAACCCCCCACAAGGAAGTGGAACATAGCTCTGTATTTCTTAAGAGCAGACTGTGCACTGAAGCAGAAAATCATGACTTCCTTCCTTCCAAAAAGTAGTGAAAGCAATAACAAAAATAAATAAATGGGACCTGATCAAATTAAGAAACTTCTGCTCAGTCAAGGATGTCATCAGTAGAGCAAATAGCCTACAAAACAGGAGAAATTACTTGCATGCTGTGCATCTCATAAAGGACTGATAACCAGAATCTATAAAGAACTCAAGCAAATCAGCAAGAAAAAAAGTCAACTCCATTAAAAAATGGGCAATAAATATGAATAGAAACTTTTCAAATGAAGGCATACCATTGGCCAACAAATGCATGAATGCTCAATATCTGTAATCATCAGGGAAATGCAGTTCAAAACCACAATGAAATGTCACCTAACTCAAGTGCAAATGGGTTCTATCAAACAGATGATGGCGTGGATGTGGGGTGGGGGAAAGAAACTCTTCTGCTGTGTTGGTGGGACTGCAACCTAGGTATGGAAAGTAGTATGGAGATACCTCAAAGAATTCAAAGTAGATCTACATTTGATCCAGCAGTCCCTCTATTAGGTATTTACCCACAGGAAAACAAATCATTTTATAAAAAAGGCACTTATAGGGCAGTGCCTGTTCCTCAAAGGAGTAGGGCGCTGGCCCCATATGCCAGACGTGGTGGGTTCAAACCCAGCCGGCCAAAAAAAAAAAAAAAAAGACACTTATACTGGAGTGATTATAGCAGCATAGTTCACAATTGCAAAGATGTAGAAATAACCCATGTGCCCACCAGTATGTGAGTGAATCAACAAAATGTGGTAAATGTGTGCCATGGAGTACTACTCAGCCATAGAAAAGACAATCTGGTATCTTTGTTACAACCTGGATGGAACTGGAGAATATTCTTCCAGGAGAAGTATAGCAAGAATGAAAAAGCAAACAGCATGTATACTCAATACTAAATTAGAACTATCCATCAATACTTAGGTCCACATATAGAAGTAAAACTCAGCGAAAATTAAGCAGGTGGCAGCAGAGAAAAGGAAATGGGTAAATTTGTACCTAGTACAAGTGCACACTTGTACAGTGCACACTATGTAGATAAAGGCACACTTTGTCTTAGTCTGTACAAAAGCAAAGTATGTAACCAAAATATGTATACCCTCATAATATTCTGAAATAAACACCCCACTCCCCAAAATCCAAAAGTAGTGAAAAAAACCTGACCTCAGCCGGGTCATCTAGATCAGTATCAGTTGTGATAAGTCATGTTGATAATATGTGCCCCTGATGTGATGTGATGGATATGGCATTTTACCTCTGTAGTCTCTTCTGTAAAATCCTTATCCCCAGTCTGTTGATAACAAAAATATCAGACAAAATACCTGACTGGTACTGTCATAACTTTCAAGACCATCAAAAACAAAGTAAATCTGAGGAGCCAAGAGGAACATAACAGCCCAGTATAATGTGTCCTGAAGGGAACCCTAGAATAGAAACAAGACATTTGGTAAAACCTAAAGAATATGCCCCCAGACTAGATTATGTGATTGCCATAACTTAACCACTTTTTATATCTTTTTAAAGTCATCTTCAAAAAACTTGTTTACAGTAATATCCAACCTTTACAAAGAACCAGGTCTGCCCCCTAGGAATGTTTATTAAATTGATATTAGAATTTTACTCCCTTTTTCATTATTCTGTTAGGTGATCTTCTTAGGCACTTCATATATACCATTGATTGAGATTATTTCAGAGTAAAATGTCTCCCCAAATACTACTTGGTTGTTGAAATAAAGAAATTAAGAGAGCGTCCATAATTTAAGAAACTTCATAAAGAGTTATAAGATGACTCCCTCTTTTCTGAAGAAAATTTTGATTGTCTCCTCTTACGTATGGAAATAAAGATAGGCAATTGTAAGTAATGAGAGAGGTCTTAAATTTTAATAAATAGAAATTAAGCTTAATACAACGAATTGTTAGCAGTAGGCATTTTTAAACTTAACGTCCATCACCTGAAGTGCTTATTTTAAAACACAGACTGCTTTGCCCACCTAAGTTCCTGATTCAGTGGGTCGGGCTGAGGCCTGAGAATCTGCATTTGAGATAAGTGCCAGATGCTGCTGATGTTATAGTAAGGCTCTACACTTTGAGGAACACTGCTCTACAAAGAGTGGTTAAAATTGCATAGAACGATTTTTCATCTCTTTTTACTTCATAGGCATCCTGACTTTGTGTAAACAAAGTGTTAATAATTTCAGAAGGGAAAATATCTGAAACTTCAAAAGCAGTTGGCTGTTACATCAAAAAAAATTTTTTTAATGACAATTAGGTTTCCTAAACAGTGAAAAGAAATCAGTCAATAAATTCATTCATGAAAGTGGCTATAAACCTTCTGGCTACTACCTCAAATTATTTTATAAAATTACTAATTTAAAAATGATTATAAAATTCAAGTATTTATGTTCATTATGTAGTATCTTCATTAAAAAAGGTCATTTCCCTTATCAAATAAAAATTTAGAAATAGTACCTTGCTTTTAGAAAGAAAATGCATTATGGTATTTAGGAACTAAATCCATCTAATAGGTGGATTATAATAAAAGCAGTTCTCTAAAATAAATGAATAATCAGCCCTACCAAGAAAAGACATTTTAAGATGAGCACATATGATTTGACTTTATTATGAAACAATAGATACATTGATATTAACTGGGAGTATAATCAGTAATATCAGCACCTATCAAAAACTCATCTGAGAAATAAACATTAATTGTATTTACCTGAGAAATAGGTAAAATTTTTATGTGTGACATTCTTTATACAGTTGTCCTGTATCTCTGGCTTTTCCATCTATGGATTAAACCAATTGCAGATTAAAAATATTTGAAAAAAGTTGCATCAGTAGTAAACAAGTACAGACTTCTTTTCTTGTCATTGTTGCCAGACAATACAGTGTAACAACTACAAAGCATTTCTGTATTAGGTATTATAAGAAATCTTGAGATGCTATATGGGAGGATGTACTTAGGGTATATGCAAATAACTGCACCATTTTATGTCAAGTCTTTGAACATTCTCTGATTATGTTATCTTCGATAGTTACCTTCCACGGTTCCCAAGGGACAACAATAATTGCATTGAAGCTTTGGTTGGAATCGAATAGTTTTAAGACAAGAAAAACCTTAACATTCTGCTTATGTTTCAACAAGAAATGGCCAACTATTTCAAGGGCATGCATGTATTTTTGTGGTAATACCGCTTTTGGAAACTTAATCCTGAGTACAAGTACAAAAGAAGTCATAAGCACAAAACTTCCCCCCTCCCCCGAATTCTTTTAATATAGCAAAAAATGAGAAACAACCTAAATATCTGTGCTAGGGGAAAAGGCAATTAAATTATAGCATAACTACTGAATGAAAACTTTGATCATTTAAAATGTTCATTATGAAGATTAAATAAAGCCATGGGGAAATTCTTAAAATAAGTTTTAAAAATTCTTAAAATACAGTGAAAGCAGGCTATAAAATTATCATATATGTTAAAATATGTATGCACATGGGGAAAGGTAGAAAGGAAAATTCAAAAGTAAAAGTAGTAATTTTGAACTAGGCCATATCAAGTCCTATTTGGGAAACTACAGTAATTCTTGACTGGTTTTGGATCTGCCCTGTAGAATACTTCTGTCAGGTGTCATAACTTTTGGAAATGAGATAGACCAGAAAATTCTGTTGTCCTCTCCCAAATAGCTAACTGAAATTCCACTGTTGATTTTAAAAATTTCTCCTCCTGCTTATTAATTTGTTATTTTGAGATTGTGAGAATACATGATTACTTTGTGGGACATGTATCAGAGTTTTGTATACTAAAGTGGTTTTAGGTTTTGGTTTTCTTTTTTTTTTTTTTAATTCTTGGAAATTCCCTTCACAATGAGTTTATACTAAAAGCTATGCAAAATGGTTTGATGGAAGGCTAAGATAATTTTTTTGTTGTTTTAATTTTTATTTTATAGGAAAGAGCTGATCCTCTCCGGCACTTTAAATCCAATTAAAGATTTACATCTGGGAAAATTGGCCTTAACTAAGTTTCCAAAGAGTCCAGAAACATGGATTCACAGGTATGATTAATTTTATAGCATAGTATTCTTACCTTAGAATTCAGAATGGCTAGAGAGGTAGGCTTGCATATTGGTTTAGAGCATGAATTCTGAAGTCACATTATGTTTAAATTCAGGGGCTAGATCACTTAAGTGTTATTGGGAAATTATTTAACTTCTCTAAGATGCAGTTTTCTTATTTGTAAATTGAGAATAATAATTACACCATTCTCGTAGCGTTAATGGTTACGTTTACTTGGAATAATGCATGTGAACACTACCACAGTGCCTAGCCGTTTTAAATAGTAAATATTTACTCTAATGCAATTGTGGAAATTGCATGTAGGTACTCAATGTGGATTTTTAAATACACTCTGTTGTGTTCCTGGTAAAGAGGGTGGTGATAATACTTGTGGTTATTAAAATTAACTTACAGAGGAAGCTAAGGGCAGCTGAGATGAGTGATATGTCGGCTGAGCTAAGGTTGCTAAAACCATAAATGCAAAGAACATTTTTAGGTTAAATGCCCACAACAGGTAGCCAGAATGCATATTAGGATTCTCAGAATCTTGGCTATCTGGAATCATCTTCCTCTTAGGCCCCATGTAACTACTCTTATTTGACTAAAATAAGGTGTTGTGGGGTTGTTGGTCGGCATCAGTGGAGAAGTTACTGAAGAAGTCTGTTCTCAGTTTATTAAGCCACTTTTAACTTGTCTTAAATCCTGGGCATTTTTAGGATCTTATATTTGTTCAAGAGTCTCAGCTAACATTTCAGGTCTGTCAGCTTCTTACAAACCATGTAGTCACTTATATTTTCTTCCATATTATAAATTGGACTAGTAGACCTCAAAGAAGGTTTTATGAATAGGGATTTAGAAAGGGGTGATTTCAGGGGAAAGAATTATTAAATATCCATTCATCAGTTTATTGGCTTATCTATTTTATAAAGTGATATTCTGTTAAATAAATCATTTAATTAATATAAAATAAATTTTTCTTACTCAACTTCTTAGAACTTTTGATTAGACATTTTTAATCTGAAAGAGTGCTTTTACATAAGGAAAATACTTGTATAAATTAAAGACATTAAATTTAGAAATACTTTCTTAGTGCTTTTTATTTAAATATATGCTAATGCAAATCTTTAATAGACTAGAGGAAAATCTGTGGATAAGGGCATTTTGAAACTCTTTAATGATTTAACTAATTGTATTCTATTTCTTTTCTTCCAGATTTTATGGTATAATAGAGAAATTTGCTTTAAAAGCTGTTAAAATGCATCTTCTTGTTTGCAAACAAATGTCCATAGAGTATGGCATGCACATATAATTAAAGATGTGAACTTTGACTCCTCTGATACAAAGTGCCAAAAAATTTGTGTACATTTTAAGAAAGGAAAACCCTGTATTAAAATTGTAATACTCGGGTTGGTGCCTGTAGCCCAGTGGTTATGGCGCCAGCCACATGCACCAGGGCTGGTGGGTTCCAGCCCGGTCCGGGCCTGCTAAACAACAATGACAACAACAACGAAAATATAGCCCCGTGTTGTGGTAGGTGCGTGTAGTCCCAGCTACTTAGGAGACCAAGGCAAGAAAATTTGCTTAAGCCCAAGAGTTTGAGGTTGTTGTGAGCTGTGATGCCACGGTACTCTACCAAGAGCAACACAGGGATACTCTGTCTCAAAAAAAAAAAAAAATTGTAATACTCAAGTCACATTTGATTTGTGCAATTACAAGAGATGCTTGATGTGACTTGTATTTTTTAACTAGTATATATTGAGTATTAAAATTATAGTACAGTTTTTTCCTTTCTTAAAATACATATACATTTTTTTGACACCCTCTGTATTTACCAGCCATTAGTTTATACTCCCTCACCACTACCATCACCTCCACACACACAGACATATAGACCAGTTGGCTTTATATTTCCTGACCAGATGAAGTTTTGCAGTTATCATTGTAGAACTAATGACATTTCTTTTTGACAGATTTTAAAATTTTATAAAGAAATTTTCCTGTTTCTGTTCCCCCATACTTTGCTTCATCTATATTACTAAGTTTATCTTCAAAAAATGCAAATCAACATCCCCTATCTATCTTCCCAAAACTAAGCTTATGTTATTTTGCATTGTCTATGAATGGAAATTAAATTAAGAACAACAAAAACTAGTTTTCCTCTCTGGTTTATATGTTCTTTCCTCATTCTCTTTCCTACATGCTACCTTAACAGGCGATGGGTGCTACAACAGCTAATTCAGGAAACCTCCTTGCCTTCCTTTGTAACCAAAGGAAACCTGGGAACAATTCCTGCGGAAAGGACACTGCGGCTAATACAAGAAGAGATGGAGGTCTGTGGTGAAGCAGCAGGGAGATACCCAAGCAATTATAATGCCTGGTCCCATCGCATCTGGGTTTTACAACACTTGGCTAAGCTAGATGTCAAGGTAGGACATTCTTCAATCTCTTGGGCAGGCTGCCCATCTGCGGTTAAATTCTTCTGATTGTAGTTCATCCTCAGGAGAGCTTTAAAGGAGTTGGGAAACTAATGATCTAACAGCCCAAGAAGATCATGGCAGCTGTTACCTCCAGAGAAACCCTAGCAACTAAAAAAATATTTACCTTTCCCCCAATACAGTTTTGGGATTCTTAAAGATAGTGCATTGGTAGAACAAAGGCAACTTTAACCAATCAGGGAACACTTAGCATAACTCATAGGAGGGATTGTTGAGCCTGATAGAATTAGAATTGCTATTTGTTGGTAGCCTTTGATCATGGGACTAAATATGCTGAGTCACCTGGTGGTCTTTTCACATTTGTCTCTCCTGGAAGTGGGGAGCAGGACCAGAGGCAGACCATCTCACCCAGGTGTTTTCAAACTTGGCTGAGTTATAATTTACCTAGAGATTCCTAAGTTCCACTCCAGGCCTACTAAATCAGAATGAGAATCGGATCTACAGATCAGTATTGTTCCACAGGCTCAGGGGATTATTTGGATGCAGACTCAGGTTGGGAATCACGGCCTAATCCTTTCAGTCTAGAAATGAGGATATGGAAGTTTGCAGAGAATTTTGATGGCTTAGACTTAGCTATATTTGCACCACTTATTATCATAATGAGAGCCTGGTATCCCTGTGTTCCTTCTTATATACTTAAGTGCTTCAATTTTTTTTTCTTAATGATATCTCAGTACCATAGAAATCTAGGGTACTTGTCGAGAAAGTTTCTCAGGCTTGGAACAGTTAAAAGAGGTAAAGTTGAAGTAGCACCCCACAGGGTGCTTTTAAATTAGCAGGTAAGTATTCTGTAATTTTACTTTTTCATACCATTCTTCTGACATCTTCTTTCCCAGGTTCTCTCTCCCCTCTTTGTTTTTTAGCCAGAGGTTCCTCCAGGACAAATAGAGTTTTCAGTTCCAGGGGATTTCAGACTAACAACTGTGAAAGAGCAGCCTCTCCCTTCTAGTTTATACAGCTGTGAGTTTTAGGAGGGGTGGCCGCCTGATGGAGTAGAGAGGGCAGAGGCTTACAATCACATCAATCTGGGTTCAGATTCTGGCCCTACTAGCTGTGTGTGGAAAGTAAGGCTTTAGGACTCTATTGCCTGCTGCAGTGCATTATTGTGAGAGCTGCTTGAGTTAATGTGTGTGACATACTAGGCACCTAATAGCAGCTCACTCTACTCTAGTTTCTTTCTCTGTTCTCCCATAGATAGAAAGTTTAGGTGAAATTGGCTTCCAGTTTGCTTGATCCAATTCAGTGTAATTTATTCATGAAAAAATACTGAAACCCTGTCATTCCCAACCCCTGTCCTGTATACTGGGTGTGTCATTAAAGACAAAGTATTCACACTTAACAAATTGAGAATCTAATTGAGGAAGTGGACCAACAATTACAAAGGAGCATAATTTAAAATATAGTTGAAGAAGTAAATCAACAATTACAAAGCTGTGTAACACTTGAAGGAAGCGAGGAAGCTCAGAATACAGTGGGAAGGCAGAGAAATGGTTCCTTATCCAGGCTGGGCTCATTGGAAACAGCTCTCCAACTCTTGAGTCTGGAGAAGTAAGCACAAGTTATCTGGTGGGTTGTCGGGAAATACTGAGTGATTTAGAACCCCTCAGCTTCACAATTTGATAGTGTGTGGGGTTGGGAAGAGGCATGAGAATGGTTGGGCATAAAAAAAGGAAGGCAGTAAAATACAAGTTTATTTATTTATTTATTTTTGAGACAGAGCCTCAAGCTGTCCCCCTGGGTAGAGTGCCGTGGCATTACAGCTCACAGCAACCTCCAACTCCTGGGCTCAAGCAAGTCTCCTGCCTCCGCCTCCCAAGTAGCTGGGACCACAGGCGCCCGCCACAACGCCCGGCTATTTTTTGGTTGCAGCCCTCATTGTTGTTTTGGCGGGTCCAGGCTGGGGATTCGAACCCACCACCTTAGGTGTACGTGGCTGGCGCCTTAGCCAGTTGAGCTATAGGCACTGAGCCTATTTGTTTGTTTTTTAAAAAGGAGGGCAGAGATGGTGCCTGTGGCTCAAAGGAGTAGGGTGCTGGCCCCATATGCCAGAGGTGGCGGGTTCAAACCCAGCCCCGGCCACAAAAAAAACTGCAACACAAAAAGGAGGGCAGAGTTCGGGTGAATGGAGAGGTCTCCGGAAATTTTCTTGCCATGATATGGACTTTTTCAAGTGGCATTCTCATAAAATCAGGCATGAAGGACCCAGGTGAAATTCTTGGTTACTTGAGGCCTTCTAATGATGTTAAAGATGACAGCTCATTGTAAGCATGTTGGCTCAGCTGCCTGGGTCCTCTCCTGGGCTCACGCGTTACCAGCCTCCCTTGACCTGCCCTTGTGAGGCAGTTCCTCCTGTCACCACTAACATTGCAGCATATTGCACGTTCTTGTTTTTAGTGAAGAGTGCAGAATTTGCAAACTCTCCATTCTGTTGTTGTAGGTTATTGGGCCCAGCTAGGAGAACATGTTCTACTATGCTTTGTCTATTAGAGAAGGTAATCACAATATAATGCTAGCTCATGTTATTTAGAAAATTAGAAAACTGAAAATGATTTTTTAAAGTGCTAGTATCCAGTATTGGTAAGGGTATGAAAATGAGCATTGTAAAAATTATTATAATCTTACTGATTATAATAAGTGTAACATGGCAGCATTTATCACACTTTTTTTAAAAAAGTGTTCATCTTAAGAGTCTGCTTTCAGGAATTCATCCTAAAGAAATAATGGGAGATGAAGTACGCGGTAGTGATTAAAGCCTGCACTCAGTGGTCATAAAGACCTAATTTGCTTTACTGCTAATTTGGTTTATAGCCTTGAGGAAGTTACTTAGCCTTTCCCAAACTTCAGTTTCCTCACCAATAAAATGGGGGTGATGACAGTTCCTATCTCATTGAGTGATGCAAATTGAACAAGATGATCCACAGAAAGTGGTTATTACAATGCACTTACTAAGTGCTCAATAAATGCTACCTATTATATTAAATATGAAAGTTTGATACATAGAGTTTATAATAGTGGAAAAGAAGAATGACTATAACCCTCTAAGAGTGAGAGGATTAGTTACTCTGCAGTCCATTTTGTTGTTTTGTTACAACTAAAAACTATATTTCAGAAGATTAAAGAAAAGTGTTTGCAATAGGTTAAGGATATAAAACTAAATATGGAGTAGACCTCATATAATTTTTGATACATTTATTAGCAGTGAATGGGATAGCAAACTTTAAAGTGTTTGAAACAGTACTTATCACACAGTTAAGTGCTCAGCACATATTTAACATAGTGTTAGAGGTTTTTTTTTAATAAGGAGTGAATATTAGTTTTCTAGTCAGGAAAAAAGTGTTAGAGAATAAAGAATGGTTAGTAGTACTGTTGGGGTAGAATTGTAAAACTTTAGTTTTCAATTTTATGTTCCATATGATGTTTGCATGTTTAAATGAACATATATTTAAGTACGTTTTTAAATACTCTTAATTTTGAGAGTAGGGTGGGAGGAAAGACTCACAGTTACATAGAGTTTATTACTACTAGCCAATTAAAAAGTGATACTGTGGCCATGTGGGGGCTCATGCCTGTAATCCCAGCACTTCGGAAGGCCAAGGCAGGAAGATTGCTTGAGGGTAAGAGTAGGAGGCTAGCCTGGGCAACATAGTGAGACCCCACCTCTACAAAAAATGAATTAATTAGCCAGGCATGGTGGCACATGCCTGTAGTTCCAGCTATTCAGGAGGCTGAGGTAGGAGGATTACATGAGCCCAGGATTTTGAGGTTACAGTGAAGATGGAGCCACTGCACTCTAGACTAGGTAACAGAATGAAACCTTATTTCTAAAAAAAAAAAAAAAAAGAAATTAAAAAGTTGATGTGGTATGTCACCTGAAAAGGCACATAGAGCTATTTCTTCAAAAAGGATATGCAAACAGCCAGGAAGGATGTGAAGAGATATTCCGTATCATTATCGTTAGGGAAATGTAAACTAAGACCACAGTGAGTAAGATACTACTCACAGCATCAAGTATGGCTAAAATAAACACAGGGAATACAAGTCTTGATAAGGGAGGATGCAGAGAAACTGGACCCCTTATATATGTCTGGTAGGATTGTAAAATGGTATAGCTACTGTGGAAAATAGTTGGGCATTTCCTCAAAAAATTAAACATAAGATTTCCATATATGGGAAAAAATTATAGTTAATATATTGTATTCTTCAAAGAATTGCCATATATGACATTTTGTACCAAAGCTTTATAAGAGAACCTTTATAGCTAAATTATTCATAGTAGCCAACAAAAAGGGTAACACCCCAAATGTTTACCATCTGAGGAATAGAAAACAAACTGTGACGTATCATAAACTGGAAGGCTGGCCACAGAAAGCAAATAAAGTACTGACACATGCTGTAATGTGCGTGAACCCTGAAAACATCGCGCTGATTGAAAGCAGCCGGGTTCAGAAGGCCACATGTTATATGGTTCCATTTACATAACACGTTCAGAATATACATGGCAGATTAGTGGATACCAGAAGCTGGGGAGAAGCGGGTGAAAACTGACTTATAAATAAGAATGGGACTTTTGAGGGAGAATATGAGTGCTTAAAATGAGATAATGGTGATGGCTGAATAGCTCTGTAGATCTACCAAAAACTACTGATTTATTTTTCAATTCAAAAATTTCTTTTAAAATTCATTAGAAAGAATAAAACTTTAAAAATTGTTGGGAAAAAGGAAAAACAGGGAACATTACATATATATTTGATACTTAAATGTCTATTAAGAGTAATGAAAATAGTCTCAGTAATGGAAGAGAATATAAAGCTCAAAAACAAATCCCAATACATAAATAATATGTACAGATTTCATTAATGATGAATATAGCGTTTCACTTTGTCACCCTTGGTAAAGTACCATGGCATGACAGCTCACAGCAACTTTAGACTCTTGGGCTTAAGTGATTCTCTTGCCTCAGCCTCCAAAGTAGCTGGGACTATAGGCGTCCGCCACAGTGCCCGGCTATTTTTTGGAGATGAGATCTTGCTCTGTCTCAGGCTGGTTCCAAACTCATGAGCTCAGGCGATCTACCCGCCTCAGCCTCCCAGAGTACTAGGATTACAGGAGTACCATTTTAATATATAAAGATCTCTTTATAAATCCATGAGGAGAAGGAGAAAGACTATTACAAATAGTAAATTAGGCAATTCATAAAAGTAATTAGGCAAAAATAGGCAATTCAGAAATGAAAAAACAGGAAAAACAATCTTTTTTAAAGACAAAATATTTAGCCTTGATGATGGTTAACAAATTGTAAATTAAAATAAGATGTGATTTTTCTACTTAATACATTAGTGAAGATTAAGGTATTTCTTAGGAATTTAGGAAATAGGCATTAATATGTACTACCAACAGGAGTATAAATAACGCAGCCTTTGTGGAGGACACTTGGGCAGTATACATCAAGAACCTTATATGTTTTTTCTGTTTCAGCAAGTATCTTTCTAAAAATTTCTCCTAAATAAATAATTAGATAGCACATGGGTTTATATATATAAGTGTTTGGTATACAAGAGTAGAAATAAATAGGGGAATGGTTAACTTATAATCCTGAGGATGAAATATTATATTACATAATAATATTTAATGCCATAGGAATATGCTTATAATTTAAGTGGAATAAAATCAATACAAAAGAGTATCCCACATTTGGGTTAAAAATAAACTCTTCTCATATGCATGCACAGAAAAAAATATGAAGAGTGGTTTTATGCCAGAAGGTTAAGAGTAATGATCTCTGGCCAATAGGATCACGGGTGATTTTTATTTGTTTTTTTACGTTGTTCTATATTATTGGAGTCTTCTATAATGATCATTTTCTTATCATTCATTTTGTTATCACTTTAACAAAATGAGAAGAAAAATCAAATTTGTAAGACTTATGCCATGTACATTTTTAGTAGTCTTTTATTTTCAACCTGTTACTCCTCTATTTTGTAGCCCTGCTTGTTTAGTTTTCTTTCTTGTATTTTATTTATTCACTTGTCCATTTTTATATGGAAATTGGAAAAGAATAAGGAAATTTAAGGAATATCATATAAAGGTCATTCAGTCAGTACCTTACATTTAAGCCGTGTATCTTTAATTTTCTATCATCATCATCATCATCAGAGACAAGGTCTCACTCTGTCACCCAGACTGGAGTGCAGTGGCCTGAGGGTTGCTCACTGTAACCTCCACTTCCGAGGCTCAAGCAGTCCTCTTTCCTTAGCCTTCTAAAGTGCTGAGATTATAGACATGAGCCACCATGCTCAGCCTAAGCTGATTACATAAAATAATTGTTGTCTTTTTGTTTAAATCATTGGCTTTATTCATATATCTTTTTATTTTAATAAGAAAATGTGCTAGATTCCTGTTAAAGTTTCTTCTTTGATTTAATATACATGTTTAAGGAGAAGAATGTAGTGGATTTTTCTCTAAAAATGTCTAGAAATTTTTTTAAGGCATTAAATTGATTTTGTTGAATACTTTTAGTATATGTAAAATTAAACAATAAATCACAGGTTTTGTACATAGAAATATCCCATAAGAAATAATCTAAAGGTTTTTTCATATTATGTAAGTTCATTTTTATCAAGTGGAACCCTTTTTTTAGTCCACATTAAGAAGCCCTACTACAGATAAAAGGCTGCTGTATTATAGCCTAAATGTCCTGCAAGTAAATTCTTCAAAGATATAATACTGTTAAGATCATTAATTTTTTTCCAGGTAGAAGTTTTATCTAGTGCTTTAATATTGCTCCCCTTTTAAAATCAAATAAATGATCTTATTTTTCATTATTCAAAGACTCAATAGCTACAGCTTCTGGAATAAATTTGAATAAACTCACCAGAACATAAAGGAGATATTTAAAGTATTTCACTGGTATAACTTGGCCATCCTGGCTGGAAATAATCTTATTCCTTTGTACCAGTCACCTCATTTGTTAAATTGCTCATTCATCTATTCATGAAATATTTATGTATCTACTCTGATGCCAGTGGGTATAGGGGATTGAAACATCAATTAGGAATAAATAAATATCTTAAGTACTTGCAGAGTTTCATGAGAATGAACAGATGCACAGAAAATCGTTTAATATATATGGTGGAACACACAAGTGTGTTGGAGGTTCAGAACAGGGAAAGATTTTTCTATAGAAGTAAAGAGATGTAAGAAGTGACATTTGCTTGGGACCCTTGACAAGCCTATAAGGGTGTCATTTGGCATTATACTGCCTATATTGTTCACTGTTTATAAGTGTGTCTTTTTTTCCTTAGCTGGTCTGAAAATCTTCTGGTGGAATGTGGTAGGCCCTCAATATACCTTTTATTGGTCAAAGCCGATTAACATTTACTACCTGTTTAAGACACTGCTTAGATATTTTTTTTCATAATTGCTGCTTTTAAAAATAATTTCATTTGAATTTTTTTTGCTTATAGGATTGGTAGTACAAAGATTTAAACAATTTATTGCCGAACTTCTTCTGTTAAAAAACCCATTTATTATTGGTGGTAAGTGAGTTTGAGATGAATGGTGAAAGTCATGAGCTATTGAAAAATCCTGTTGTTCACACATCATGTTTTTGTGCTAACTCCTTAGAATTAAGTTAAAAAGACAGATGTGGTTACTGGTATAAGCAGGGCCATTGAAAAAAATAAAAAAATAAAAAAGATAGACACAGTCTCTGCCCTTGTGAAACTTAACAGTGACAAACAAATAATTACACTGAGTCTGTTGTTGACCAGGTAATAAGTTAGATGTTACGCATATTTGTTAAATGTAAAAGAAAGCTTATATCAAGGTAACATCTGAATTTATAGTTTTCCTTTTACAAAAGAATTACTTGTAAATGAACACCCTAATGTTCATCATTATTTTAGAATTTTAAGTTTCTGCACCTGTACCAGAGAAAGAAGGACAAGTCCTCAATTCTGTTTTGTTTTGTTTTTTAACTATCACTTTATGAGGGAAAGGGTAAAGTAGCATGTATTAAGCATCTACTGAGAGACAACACATTACATACAAAATAATGGTAAGGATGTTATTGTCAACGAAACCAAAACAAACCAAAGAGAAATCTCAGGGATAGTGGAAAAAGAAAAAATTTTGGTTATTCCCTTCTCACTACCCTTTTTTCTTCCTACAAGATTCTTCTTGATGAACTGTCTTCTACTAAACATTGGGCATCCATGCACGTTTCAGACCACAGTGGATTTCACTACCGCCAGTTTTTGTTAAAATCTTTGATTAGCCAAACTGTGATAGACAGTTCTATACTGGAGCAAAACCCTTTGAGAAGTGAACCAGCCCTAGTTCTTCCAAAAGGTGAAGAAGCGGCAGTTTCAACGGAGGAACCAAGGATAAATCTTCCTCATCTTCTAGAAGAAGAAGTCGAATTCAGCACTGATCTTATCAATTCCTACCCAGGACATGAAACCCTTTGGTGTCATAGGTAAGAGAAGGGAAGATGCATTTTCTTCGTAAAACTGCATAACCTTATCAGAGCTACAGGAAGAGTTACGCCTAATTCTTGCCTATTTGAGTAAACATGGTCATCTTGATTGTAGAGCTTTGACTGAGTGAACTTGAAAGGAAAGGGTCCTGTTAACCATATCACTGTCATCATCATCACCACCAGTAGTGTGAGATTGCTCTTGCAGATCTTTGCCTGTTGAATACCACTATACTAAACTGGGACAGTGTAAACCATGACTGTGCAGAAGAATAGTATGTGTTACATTCAAAATAAAAACAAGAAAAATAAGATAGTAACAAAGGTTTCCAGGCTTCCTTCTTGGAAATCCTTTTATTTAGCATATCTAAGATAAAGCATTGCCTTGTTGTCTACCCCAAAAAACAAAAGAAAACAAAACCTCTTAACACCTGATTTTGGTGCACAGTAGGGATTGAGTCTATTGAGAAGACCTGGAGAATAAGGTAAGCTTTATTATTGTTCAGATCCTGATAATCTGCAAATTAACTTACTTTTAGGTATACTTTCTCTATGCTTTTTTATTATCTAAAGTGTAAGAGAATTTCTCTTTGGGAGCAGAGAAAGACTGGTAGGGAGGAGTAAAGGTGTGTAAACCGTCTATTAACCTGAGTTTTGAGTACATCTGATAGTGAAGTACGTTTCACATGGGAATGAAGTCCAGGTATGTGAACCCCTTCCTTCCTTCCTTCATGTGTTTTAGATCTTCCTTTATTTGGAGACATCTCCACCTTCACTCATACAGATTCTCTACTTCAGGCTTTAGGATTCTATTTTTAGACAAAAGACTTGCCTCTGCCAGGCAGGAGATAGGCATTTTTAAAAATTTGTATATTTCTGAAAACTATTGAGATGTTCCCCCTTCTCTGCTTTAGTCTTTCTTGTAATATATTTGAGGGAACCTGATTAGTTGCCATCCTGTGCTAAATATAATCAGAAGACAGAAGATGATCTTTCTTCTCTTTATAAGTAGATAATTCTCTTTTTCTGTTAAAACCAAGATATTCTTATTTCACATTTTCAAGAGAGAAGACAGATCCTAAATTGAAGGTTATTTTGTTGTAACAGACTTTTATTGCTTCAGCCATAGCTCAAAGATATTATGGGTTCAGTTCCAGATTCTCACTAATTAAGAGAGTCACATGAATTTTTTGGTTTCCAAGTGCATATAAAAGTTATGTTTATACTCTGTTGTAGACTATTAAGTGTGCAATACCATGATGCCTAAAAAACAGTATACTTACAATTTAAAAGGTACTTTATTAATAAAAAATGCTAACAATTCTCTGAGCCATTAGCGGATCAATCTTTTTGCTCAGTAGCTGCTGACTGATCAGAGTGGTGGTTGCTAAAGGTTGAGGTGGCTGTGGCAATTTCTTAAAGTAAGACAACAATGCAGTTTGCCTCCTCAATAAACTCTTCCTTTCATGAAAGAGATCTCTGTAGCATGCAGTGTTGTTTGATAGCATTTTACCCACAGTAGGACTTCTTTCAAAATTGGAGTCAGTCCTGTCAAATCCTGCCAGATCAACTAAGTTTATCTAATATTCTGAATCCTTTGTTGTCGTTTCAACAGTGTTCATAGCATCTTCACCAAAAGCAGATTCCTTTTCATCCATAAGAAATAGTTCCTCATCCTTTCAAGTTTTATTGTGAGATTACACCAGTTCAGTCACACCTCAGGTTCCATTTCTACTTCTGTTGCTTTTTCCACCACATTGGGTGTGACTTCCTCCACTGAAGTCTTGAACTCTCTAAGTCAGCTATGAGAATCATAATCACCTTCTTCCAAACTACTGTTCATGTTGGTATTTGGACCTCCTCCCACTAATGTTTTTAATGATATCTAGAATGGTGAATCCTTTGCAGAAGGTTTTCAGTTTACTTTGTCCAGTACATCAAAGTAATCACTGTTGTTGTCAGCTATAGCCTTTATTATAGTCTTTATGAAATGTATTTTTTAAATAATAAGACTTGAAAAATCTAAGTTCTTCCTTGATTCATGGGCTGTAAAATAGTTGTCATACTAGAAGGCATGGAAACAACATTAATCTTATATGTATCTGTCAGAGCTCTCTAGTGATCAGCTTTATTATGTTATTAGTAATATTTTGAAAGGAATTATTTTCTGAGCAGTTCTCAACAGTAGGCTTAAACTGTTCAGTAAACAGATGAGCTATCCACAGCTGTCCTTTCATCTCAGCTTTGTTCTACTGAGAGAGCACAAGCAGAGTAGAATAATTCTTAAGGGACCTAGGATTATTGGAATGGTATATGAGCATTGGCTTCAACTTAAAATCACCAGATGCAGTAGCCCCTACCTACCAAAAAAGTTGGTCTGTCCTTTGAAGCTTTGCAGCCAGGCATTGACTTTTCTCTAGTTATCTTCTGCCAATAGAAGATGGTTTCATCTACATTTAAACTCTAGAGTCTAGTGTAGCTACCTTCTCACCTTTCTCAGGCTTTATAGAAGTGAAGAGCACAAGGGCCTTGGTCTCGTTAAACAGAACGTTATGGCTTGTTTGATCTTCTTTCCAGACCTCTAAAACTTTCTCCATATCAACAATAAGTTTATCTTTCACTTTCATGTATTCACTGGAGTAGCACTGTTAATTTCATTCAAAAACTTTACCATTGCAGTCATAACATGCCTTTTCAATGAAAGTGGCCCAGCTCCCTACCTGTCTTAGCTTTGAACATGCCCTCTTCATTTAGCTTAATCATTTCTAGTTTTTGATTTAAAGTGAGAGACATGTGACTCTTCTTTTCACTCTCTACTTATAGGCCATTGTAGGGTTATTAGCCTAATTCAGTGTCATTGTATCTTAGAGAATAGCAGGAGGGCTGAGGATGGGGAGAGAGATGGCTGGTTGGTGGAGCAGTCAGACCACACATAACATTTATCAGTTAGGTTCACTATATTATATGAGTGTGGTTAATACCCCCAAACAGTTAAAATAGTACCATTAAGATCACTGATCACAGCTCACGATAACAGACATAATAACAATGAAAAAGTTTGAAACATTGGGAGAATAACCAAAATGTGACACAGAAACAAAGTGAGCTTATGCTATTTGAAAAATGGTGCCAATAGACTTGGCTCAGGGTAAGGTTGCAACAAACCAATTTGTTAAAAATGCAGTCTCTGTGAAGCACAACCAAAGCATAATAAGACAAGGTATGCCTTTATTACACAGACCAGTTTTCTGCTGCTGACTTGCCACCAGTAGGCAGCTTATCCTTTAAGTTTTACCCGCTACAAAATGGGTACATTATGTGCTCCCTATCTACTTCAGCATTTGCAGGGAAATGAATAAAATTCTCTTTGAAGTTGCTAATATAAATGATGAGATATAACAGCTCAGAACCTGTGTAGTTTATCTTATGTACAATAAATGTACCCTCCACTGAATCAAAATTTTTGGAGATTACAAACATGGATTTAATAAACAATTAAGGTGATTTTAAGGGCCAAAGAATCACTATTATTACAACAACAACAGGAACTGTGTCTTTTTTTTAAGTTTTTGGCCAGGGCTGGGTTTGAACCCATCACCTCCAGCATATGGGGCTGGCACCTTACTCCTTTGAGCCACAGGCTCTGCCCAGGAGCTGTCTCTTAATATACACATTGCAACAAATCCCCAATGCATGGTGATATTCAAAACTATAGTAGTGGATTTAAGAGAAAGTTCAGTTGGTTTCTAGATAATACCATGTTTCCCTGAAAATAAGACCTACCCAAAAAATAAGCCCTAGCAGGATTTCTATGCATTTGTTAAATATAAGCCCTACCCCAATAATAAGACCTAGAGATGGGCAGGGATCTGCGTAGCCACTCCATGCATTTCAGCGCAGAATGGTAAGGAAGACTGGAATACCTTTATCTGCCACAGCTCTTTTCTCCAAGAGCTTTGTGTGGTAACGTTGTAGGCATCCTATTGTGCATGTGCGAACGGCTAGGGGAAAGGAGTTCACACATCACTAGCGCCAGTCCCACCAACAAGGTCGGCTCCCCCTGTCAGGTTCCAGAAGAAGATGACTTAACTGTATTTGAATTAAGTGTAGATTGTTGTATTATACTTAATAAAAATAAGCCATTCCCTGAAAATAAGACCTAGTGTGTCTTCTTGAGAAAAAATAAATATAAGACAGTGTCTTATTTTCAAGGAAACATGGTAATACAGATCTTTTTTGCAGCAGATCTTTTATTAAAGCACTGAGGAAAGGCCATGGAGTAAGCCTCTAGAGCAGTGTTTTTTGACCTTTTTTATCACATGGCACACTTGAACCTATAGTTAACCTTTCACAGCACACTTCAATTATGTTGATCAAAAAGAAAAGAGTTAAGAAAGAATATACTTACTGTGCTTTGAACTCTTTTGAACATAATTTAATGATCTTTAAAAATTTTTGTGGCTCACCTAAGATCCTTTCATGGCACACTGGTGGCTCTAAAGGAACTATTTAATCCTTTATTTCTAAATCACTTTTCTTCTAAATAAAAAAATTTAAAAATTTTTGTGGTTCACCTAAGATCTTTCATGGCACACTGTGGCTCTAAAGGAACTATTTAATCCTTTATTTCTAAATCACTTCTAAAGTATCAAGGAGGCTAATGTTTGGTTCTGTTTTGTAAAAATTGAGCCAAAACCTATTTCTAGTTTCATGTTATAGTTAAGTGACTTGGTCTCAACTGTTTATCCTCCTTTCCCTAGATAACTGTACTGAGTACTCTGTGTTTTGAAATAACCAACTTTTTTTTTCCTGAAAAGCCTCATTTATTAATGTGATTTTCCTTATTTTCTTCTTTCCTCCATCACAGGCGGCATGTTTTCCATCTTCAGCATAATTTACATGGTAGGTTTACTCACAACATGACCCAGTTGTCACCTGCAGACAGCCCTGGGGGGACTTTGAGTGACTTGCACCTTATCCCAGCAGGCCCCCAATTGTCTCAGGCCATGGAAGTGGATGGACTGAATGACTCAAGCAGGCAAGGCTATTCCCAGGAAACTAAACGCCTGAAGCGGACCCCAGCTCCAGACTCCCTGGGCCTAGAAATGGAGCACAAGTTCATTGATCAAGTGTTGTCCACTTGCCGGAACGTAGAGCAAGCCAGGTTTGCCAATGCATACAGAAAATGGCTGGTTACTTTGAGCCAATGATAGAGGTGGATTAGTCCTATAGAGTTCCCCTTCTAGTGCAATATTGCTTTCCTTACAGTTGCATGAACTGTTTACTATTATTGACTAACCTTTTTTCTTCATCTTTAGGTTAAAAGTCCATAGTAAATCTTTCATTTTATTTATTTTGTTAAAAATTGGCATTCCTTTGTGGATAAAATAATTGTGTACTTCTTTTCTGGTAAACAGTGAGTCTTAAATTTTCTTTTGAACTTCTCAGTTTCTGTAACTGAGGCTTCTCATTTGGTTCTCCTAATTAGTTCACACATGCCTTCACCCACCTCAGTACAATTGCTGCATAGGCAAATTATTTTAAAATTTTATATTGTAATTTAGCTAAAGAACATTAATGCAAATGCAGAATGACTTGATGCAATTAATATCAAATGGCTAGGTGGATGGATATGTGGAAATGAAAACCAGTTCTCTTCTCTAGTATGTTCTACTTAACATATGGACTAACATAACCAAAGTCAGAAGTATTGGAATTTATATGACAAAATACATCCAATATAATCCATTTTTAAAATGATTATTTTTTAAAAAATCCTAATTTAATTGTTTATGTAATTGCAGTACTGAAAAATTATTTTTATTACTAGTTTTGATAGATTGTTTTTACCTCAAATTTGGTATATGCCAAAACACTTGTCAGCCCTTATAAAATTGATTTTTTTTTAAAAGCCTAGAATGCCATTTTTAGTTATTACTACTATTTTCCTTTCAAATTCACTTACGAAGCATGGGAGAAATATACATAGAAATGTATCCATAAAATTCTTTCTTGTTAGAAATTTAAATTATTGAGGAAATACTAGATAAACCACAAAATTACTATAAAGCAACTATTAGAAAGTTTACTGGCAAAAGCCAGGGAAAAGTAATACTTTTGAAGATTAGTTCTTCAGTGTTTATTTTAGAAACATTACACTTTGATACTTAACTTATCAGGGACAAAGTACCAAAGTATCCACATTGTAGCTGTATCTTTTCAATAACAAGGGCTGAGATTTTCAGGTCTGTGAAGTGGGGTTGGGGAAAAGGCCAGGTAATGTCTACTTTCCTATTATATTTCCTCTTTTGTAAATGGTCTGTGTTTCTCCTGTCCACATCTTCCTTATTTATTTTGTCAAGCCATTCCCCTTTTTTGGTCACTTTCATTTTTGTATAATTTTTCTTACCTGTCTTATTTCAGGGATGTGTCCTGAAGATACTGTCCTTATTTGCAATAATTTCATACCCCATCTAAGATATATACGGGAAATAAGAACAAGAGCTGCCCCTCTGTTCCAGTGATGGAAACTTATTCTATATGTGTTCAGAACGTGGCAGAAATAACTCTGACCACCATGCTTTTGCCCATTCTCCTTTTTACTTGTTAGAAAATTTAAGGTGGGAAGAAAGATGTATGGAAAGGCAAACCTCTTCCATCTCACTATTATGGAGAGGCTAGACTTAAGTTAGGTGCACTGTCATAAGGAGGAAGAATGGGTCATTTACTTGGGCATCATGGTTTTATTGACTGGCAGTCTGTCGAACTGAGTGAGACTTAAGAACACCAGAAAAATTGTATAGCATGGCCCCAATAGACAGAAGTTGCTCTTCTCTCTTGGGGCAAAGGGAATACCCTTTATAGCTTTTATACTATTTAGATGAAAAAATAATTGCCATTATAAACATAATTCCATGTCCCTTAGTGTACAAAGTGTATTTTAAAACAAATACCTCAAGGTCCACCCAGACCTCTATGAATAAAATCATTAGTTTATGACTCTTAGCTCCTGTCAGGGTTGGTGGGAAATTACAAAGATGACATGGAGGTTCAATTCATTCCACAAAAACAGATTGCCAAATTCTGGCCTCACTCTGAAATACCTTTTTTCTAAGCATCGTGTTTAGTATCCTAAGTAATAGGGCTTCTTATACTTTAATATGAGGAAGTGTCAGGACATGAGTGTAGACAGTACCCTGTCAATTTTAATAGTGCTCCAAGTCTTTTTGTATCTTCTGCTGAGTATCTTGCCCATCTTTGTTGTTAACTATATTTGTATCTTCTAAGGCTTTTGACCTACTCTTTTCTGAAGCCATGCAGTCCTTGAATATATCTTGGTCTCTTGTCTTCCTAATAAAGTTTTAAGTAGGGAGTGAAAATACAAATATCCAAAGGATACTGTTAGTATATGACTTTTATGTGCTACTTTATTTTTAAAATTTGCATTTTTCAAGTTTTCATTAACAGGAAACCCTAGTATTGCCCCATATGGTTATAGTTTTTTCCCCTAAGTGGTGAACATTTAAATTCACAAGGTGTAGCATAGTATCTTTGACTCAATGAGCTCATGAGTGGAAAGGCTATGTCTGTTTTCAGGGGCTTGTTAGTCTTCATGCATTTTTCTATAAATACCTAGTTGTTAAAACGAAAAGATGGTTTAAATTAAAACACATTTCGTTAAACTTTTCACTGGAAGAGTATCAGGTCATTGTCCCATCCTGTGGATTAATACTACTACTGACAAGCCCAAAACAGTAAGATCTGTAGCTATCTCCATTAACACCCTTGTCCCTCCTTTTTTTAAGTATACCTATTTTGGTAATATGGTGTTCCCAGATTCTATTTGTGCCTTGCACATTGTGAGGACTCATTAAATATTTATTAAGTTAATGAATGATTGACTATTTGGAGAAGAGAAAGATTGGTTGTTAAGTGACAGGTAGAGTGAGTGATGATTGAAAAACTGACGATTAGTGCACTGGATCATGAATGGATGATGCTTTCTAGCTTCATAATACTTGGGGAGAGCTACTGCATGTAGAATAAGTTCCTTTAGATTTTTCTTCATTTAATTACTTTGTTTAAATTTGTTAAATTTCAGCCAAATCTTAGCCCTATAATTATCAGTTAACTGTACTTAAATAAACACTAAAAATTCATAAAGCTAATAAAGCCCACTTGCATTAAGAACATTACTTTCTGTTCACTAATGGTGTTAGAGATCTTGCACACAGAGCCAGTGCCACGTTTGGTCATTTGAAGAAATTCTTTGATTTCAGTGACTTGTTCATCTCTATGTGTGGATAGTCATTTTATGCTTCTTTTTGCCTCCCAACTTGAACTGTGGACCTTTTAGATATTTCTTAAAATACATGAGTCTTTTTTTAAGCATAAGCATTTTTGAGACAGCATCTTACTTCGTTGCCCTCAGTAGAGTGCCCTGGCATCATAGCTCACTGCAACCTCAGACTCCTGGGTGCAAGTGATCCTCTTGTCTCAGACTCCCGAGTAGCTGGACCACACACTTGCTATTTTTAGAGATGAAGTCTCACTTTTGCTCAGGCTGGTCTCAAACTCCTGAGCCAAGCAATCCGCCCATCTTGGCCTCCCAGGATGCTAGGATTTACAGGAGTGAGCCACAGTGCCACGTGCCTGGCCCTAAGTGTAAGCATTTGATACATGTTAGTGTCCTCTTTTTCTTTTCTAGATGTTGGATTTTATTACCGTTTTAGAAACTCTGGGCCCATACTTTGAGTCAGAGTTCTTACTCCCATGGTGCGGTTGTAACTTAAAGGCATCATAAATTATTAGGATTAAATGTGTACGGGTTTATCAGTAAAAGCCACTTAAATCTTTAAATAAGGACTTACACAACACAAAATGTGGAAACAAAAGTTTTGTTTTTATGCAGCAATTTTTAAGATAGCATGTATGATAGACTTTGTTGTTTGAATATGTTGATATGCTCAAGTCATGCTAGTTCATGCTTGTTGGGTCACACAGATTGTGTGTGTGTGTAAACTTTAATTGTGATAACAAATTGTCTATAATTTTCTCTTATGTAACACAGACGGCATCTGATTAGGAGTGCAACTATCACCTGCTGTACCACAGTCCTGTCACTACCTTAGTTCTCGTGAACTATAGAAGATAAAAGTTTAGTTGTAAAAGGAAGAACATGATCCTTTTTTCTTTTTCTTTTTTTTTTTTTAACAAAAATCTGTTTTAAGCTTATTGTTAATTTGTTACTAGAAAGATGTGTTTAAAACTTTAAGATACTTAAAGCGTGTTAGACATTTTGAAAGGCATTATAAAAACAACCTCTTTTCTTTGGAAAAAACTTTCAGATAGAACTGTGCAAACCCTAGTACTTCATGTGCTGCCACCTCCCATGCTTAGGTGTGCTCTGTCGCACTCAAATTTCATGGAGAAGTGTGTGGAGGCACTGGAAAGTTTAGGCAAACTCAGTGTCGTGAAGGAAATGATCAAGAAAAAACCCCAAGAATTCTACTTACCGTCATACAGTATCTTGTAAAAAATAACTATACACTGTGTTGATTTGAGTGCCTTTCTTACTTTTGGGGGGAGCAAGACTATCCCTAACATTTGAGTAGGAAACAAGGAGACAGAAGTTTTAACAGTTTATTGTGGCCCATTGTTTTTTTATTCTCATTGCTAGGCATAGTCCTATGAGGTATTTTATTCTTCAATGAGATACTGATGTAATTAGGCAGGATGCTTTGATTTATATTTCTTAAGTTATCATTTTTAAGCACGCCACCAAGAATTAGTTCTTTCTCTCTAACAACTAGTGTTCTGTGGGTTGGAAAGCATCCCATTTGGTGGGCAGTACGTGCACAATTAAGGATCAAACTGAGACTTGTGCTTGAAGGGTAACAGTGGCATGGCACTCCATCCTCACGTAGCGGGCAGATAGTTGTCCTATATAAGTCCTTTGCCTTATTTTAAAGACCTTCTTTCTCTCCCAAATCAGGCCTAATATTAAGATAGTTGAAAGTAGGAAAAATAGGAATTGTTTTCTTTCAAATATTGGAGGAAAAGAAGTAAATACTGAGATAAAATGTTAAATGTGTTATTTTATGGAGAGGAGAAGGACAAGAAATCCGTATTTCACGATAGCAAATACTCATTATAATTTCATGAAAATATATAATTAACAATTCCAAAGTGCTTTACAGAGAACTGTTGACTAACATATTCCTAAAGGGCACCAGTATGCCATGTTGACAGCAGAGACAGAAAACCAGTTGTAGATCTGTGATGGGAGGGGAATCCTCAGGCTCCCGACTTTGCTTCTCTGCTCTCACCAGGCCGTGTTAACACTGTAAAACCAAACTAAAAAAAAAATAGGACAGTAGTTTAGTCAGCTGCTAAGACTTTGTGCTTCCAAGATTATTAGCTATATATAGTTTTTGCTTTCTGGACAATGATACAGTCCACAGAGCTAACCCTGACATTTCTTTTACTAGTCTGTTAATCCTCAGGGTATAGAAGATTTAGTAAATTTAGGACAAAATTTTGTATTCAGTGGCAAAAAAGAAAAGGCAAAATATGCTAATTATATTATTAGCTCTTAAAATTTTAGTACAGATAGTATTTTTTATAAACCACTACTAGTGCAGTCGCCAGTAGATGCTCTGTGACTGCCTTGTGTGTCTTACTGCTTCGGTTCCTGTGGCTCTATTAGAAACATTTTCTTATGCGTGTGTCTACTGTGGAAGTCACTTCCGTTTTATTTCCATGTTTGGCAGAGGTGTGGCTGATTGTATTTTGTTTTAGT